CTCTCTCCCCCCCTCCTCCTCCCTCTCTTTTTTTTTTTTTTTTTGCTATAGGGCACCCACACTTGTCAGAGACAGACCAGAGGGATAGCCATACTGTAATCCCTTCTCCTCCATTCTCCTCTTAGGATTCTGGGCACGCAAGCACGTATGCCTGACATGATTTTTAAGCTGCTGGTCTGGGACTTGAACCACACAGTCAGCCATGTGGGCTTCAGCTCCTGAACCACCACGCCACCTCCGGTCCTCATCCTCCTTTCTCTGGGATTTTCTGGAAGTTCTCTTCATTGGGGTGTCACTGTGAACAAATGTAAGGCCCTGGACTGCTGCAGCCTTGCCGTCCAGCTGAGGATAAGTCATGCCCAGAGGAGGCTGAGCCAGGGAGGGAAAGAAAAGGAGCAGGAGCCCGTTTCCCACCCTCCATCGGGTCAGCCCAGGCCGGTCTACCTCTGGGCTGCTGGCACCACAACTGATGCATTTCCTTACGCATTCAGCCAGTGTCTGTTGCCATGTTTTCTATTACTTAGGACCCCGAACAGCCCTAACTGATAAGACAGAAGGTCCTTGTTAAAAATTTGGAGTCCATGGGGCCAGCAGTTAGTGTAATGGCTATGTTGCTGGACTCCCACGTAGTTGATTGCGGTTTGAGTCCCGGACCCGGTGGCTTAAACTCACGCCAGGCGTGTGTGCGTGCGTGCCCAAGATCCCGAGAGGAGAATAGAGGAGAAGGGATTGTGGCGTAGCCATCCCCCCCTGGGGGGTGAGTTCTTGCTTTCTGTCTCTCTCTCTCTCTCTGTCTGTCTGGCGAGTGCATGTGCCCTATAGTAAAAACCTCTCCAAAAAAAAAAAAAAAATTGGAGTCCAAAGGGCAGCATGGCTCTATGGGAGAGCAGTGGATATGTTTTGGGTATGGCACTGCAGCTGCCTTCAGGACAACTGGCGACAGGGCCTAGGAAGGAAGCCTTTGGACCTGTGGGTCAACAGGGCCCACAGTAGAGCTACAGATGGATTGGAAAAGCATTGGTGAATACCGGGAACTGAAGCCATGGGCTGGGTAAGATTTAGGAAGTACACCCGTCATGAGAAAGGAGGGCCCTGGGAAAACAGCATTTAAAGGGTGGAAAGAGGAAAAGGAGCCAGTAAAACAACTCAGGAAGGAGACCCTTAGGGAAGTTGGGCATAACAGCTGCACGAGCAGAGAAAGAACGTTTTCCTTGGGAGTCAGGATGCTATTGCTGACGTGGGGTAAGATAAGTCCCCAGGAGCGAGGTGCTCACAGTGACAGGGGCAGGACATTTCCTGGGGAGCAGAGGAAGGGAGGGGCAGAGCATGCTGGCAATGGACAGACGGTGGTTGTGGTGCGTGTGCATGTGCGAGTGAAGAAGTGAGGTCTGTAAATGTGGCTGGTCGCCTTCTGAAGGTCAGCAGTGGCTGGGGGCAGGGGCAGAGACAGAGGCTGGTGGCAAGCATGGAGACCAAATTAAATGGTTTCTTTTTGGTTTTGTATTTTCTTTTAGTTTGCTATAGGGCATGTGCCAGAGAGAGACACAGAGAGAGAGAGAGGAAAAGTGAGATATTGTCCCCCAGGGGAATGGCCATGCCGTAATCCCTTTTCCTTTATTTTCCTCTCAAAATTTCGGGCATGTATGCACCAGGTGTATTTTCCCAGCCGCTAGGTCCAAGAATCAGCTGTGGGGGATCCAGCCACGTTAACCACCGTGTAACCTGGCTGGCCCTCCTCAGCTAAGAATTTAAAGTGGAGACAACACAGGTAATCTCCATTACAGGAGAAGGACATGTCCCAGCCCTGCCGCTCTGCTGTCCCTGCCCTGTCTGCAGAAGATGGGTGGCGAGAGGTAGGATGACTTCCCAGTGTGAAGACAGAGGAGCAGAGGGTGACTCTTGCCTGGGCCCACCATAGCCAACAGCTCCAGGGCTTACCGTGTAGGTTTCCACTGCGAAGTCAGGCTGCGGGCTCTCGGGCTTAGAAAGTGTGCCCACAATCTGGAAGGTGCCTTCCTTCAGTTTGGGGGATGAAGCTTCTGGAAAAGCTGACTTATTTTCATCTTCTTCTTCCTCTTCTTCCGTAATTTCTTCAAGCGAAGCCCCAATGACACAGTTAGATAGGAACTGTAAGCAAACAAATTTCCCAAGACTGAGAATATATTAAGAGTGGGAGCAGCCAACGAACTAATTATTTTTAATTAATAATGAATGAATTAGATTGTGAAATCTGAGCCTGCTAGTGTCACACAGGCAAAGTGAATGTTCTGCACCCTGTCGTCTCATTGAAATTGATTCAATTGCCACGTCACAGGGAATGGAAACTACAGTGCGTCCCTGCTTTTCAGATGAGGAACTTGGGCTCGGAGAGTATTTTCAGTTTCTGATGGTACTTCTTGCTGGAGCTACAGGCAGAGCTCGGCTGTAGGAAAGACATTTGTCTTGCCCAGTAGAAATAGAGGAATGTATGGGGCTGGCAGATGGAATGGTGGTTAAAGTGCTGGACTCCCATATGGCCAATGACGGTTTGAGTCCTGGACCTGGTGGCTTGCTTTCCCTTTCTCTCTCTCTCTGGTCAAATTTAAATAAAAAAAAAATTAAAAAAAAATTCTTTCAAAAAAGAGAAATAGAAGAATGTATTTTCCAGTAGCCACTTTACATAGTGATATTTTATGTGTATCGATGATCTATTTATCATCTCTGTATTACCTTCTGTCCTCAAGAAACACAAATAAGGCCATACTATGCCTGTCTCTTTATTATTTTATTTTTGCTATAGGGCATGCGCACTCACCAGAGAGAGAGAGAGAGAGAGGAAGTGAGGAATCATCCCCCAGTAGGGATGGCCATGCTTCGATGCCTTCTCTTTCATTTTCTTCTTCAAATTTTCAGCATGATTTTCAAGCCTCAAGGCCCAGGATTCCCACTGCGGTCGATCATGCAACACCTTAACCACCACACTGCCCGCTGGCTCCCATACCTCTTTCTAATGCTTCCTTTCCTTAGAAACTGTTACCGTACTGGTTTACTTTTGTATCCTTGTTCCTTCTGTCCTCCCTTTTCTGATGATTTGGAAGGTGTATCATGAGTCTGGAGTCCCTTGTAGTAGATATATGCCACATATATGTATCCTATGTATTGTTTATCACCTACAATGACATGCTATAAAAACGTTTTACCGTTACATATAATTACGCACATACACCTCTGCTTTTTGACTGATGAACTTTAGATGGTGTATCGATTGAAAAGTGCACTGCCCCCTGCCAAATTCCTGTCCTAGAAACTGAGAGTGTGCTCTCATTTAGAAATAGGGTCTTTGCAGATGTAATCAAGTGCAGATGAAGTCAAACGGTATTAGGGTGGGCCCTAAGCCAACACCTGGTGTCCTTATAAAAACAGGACAGTCTGCACACAGCAGCACAGGGCAGAGCACCATGTGAAGGAGGAGGCAGAGGGTCTACTGGCCAAGGGATGCAGCCTTCCCCGTAGGAACCAACCCCGGTGACACTGTCACTGCAGACCTCTGCCCTGTAGAGCTGTGAGGAAATACATTCTGCTACTGTAAGTCCAGGTTGTTATCTCAGCCCTTCCCGGTCCATTTTACACAGCTCAGTGCTGAAAAGTGTTCATTAGTCCACTGAAGCCCGCTCAGGGAGAAGTTAGGTTTCTGTGTAGCTCCAGAGTGTGGGGTTAACTTGTGGGTCCTCCCCGCGGAAAGGGTACAATCATGGCTTTATTTTCATGACCAAGCTTTTTTCTTTTCCTTTTTTTTTTTTTTTTTTTGAGAAGTTTTTGCTATAGGGGACGTGTGCCGGCCGGAGAGACAGGAAGCGAGAAATCACCTGCCACACCCCCGGGGATGGCCACGCTGCAATCCCTTCTCCTCCATTCTCCTCTTGGTGGCACACACACACGCGCCTAGCGTGAGTTTAAGACACTGGGTCCAGGACTCAAACCGTGGTCGACTGCATGGGAGTGGAGTGGTGTAGTCATTACGCTAACTACTGGTCCCTGACCAGGCATTTTAAGAAGAAGAAGAAGGTTCCCAGAGTCCTCCTTTTGCATATCTTCATTTTCCAGGGCTAAAGGTGGACAAAGGGGAGGAAGCTTAATGGGCCTAGGGCCCCAGACAGTGCCTGTGGCATAACATTAATAGGGGACCAGCAGTTAGCGTAATGGCTATGTCGCTGGACTCCCACGTAGTTGACCACGGTTCGAGTCCTGGACCCATTGACTTAAACTCACGCCGGGCGCATGTGCGTGTGTGCCCAAGATCCCGAGAGGAGAATGGAGGAGAAGGGATTGCGGCGTGGCCATCCCCCCTG